ATGTATATTTGTAAGTACATGTTGCTGTGTAACAAAGATTAAAAAAGAATCATTTTTGTTTGAAAAATACTTTGTTTTCGTTCATTTTCTAAGGTTTTGAGCTCAGTTTTCGCCTAATAGACATGTTATTTCTAAAATTTTCTCCACATTTTGTTATATTAAAAAATCTGATGTGATCAGCAAATAACCAACCGCATTGTGTATTGTCTAGTTAAATGAAAGTGTTACAGAATATTATGAAAATGTCTGTTAAAAACTTATTTCCAATTTTTAGGGCATTAGTAAGCCTATAGTTAGCATACCTAGAAAAATGTAAATTTGGTTTTTAGTAGAGTTTCGCTTTATGCTACCCTAATTCCCTGAAATGCTCGCCAGTTATTTTCGGTAACAACCAGAACTCAAATATCAAATTTCAAGAAATTCTATCAATTCGTTCCGTATATATGATGAAAAATGTAAAATCGGCCTGCAGATCAGTTTTCGAGCCCTGATCTTTCCAAAAAGTTTACATGTTCATTGTTTTAATACGAGGAATTCAAATATTAAAATTCAATGAAACCGGTTGATTATTTCTATTTACATATATACACAAAAATGTATATTAGGCCTGTAGTAAACGTCCAGTTACTGATGCCTGATTTGTTCCAAAAGTTAGGAATTTTCGCGGACGGTCGAGCAAAGTCAAATATATAGTTTCAAGTAAATCGGTTGAATATTTTCTTCAAAACGGAAAGTCAAATACTCGTATGTAATTTCAAGTAAATCGGTTGAATATTTTCTTCAAAATGGTGAAAAATGTAAAATCGGCCTGCAAATCAGTTTTCGAGCCCTGATCTTTCCAAAAAATTCATATGTTCATTGCTTTAATATGAGGAATTTCAATGAAATCGATTGATTATTTCTCTTTATATACACAAAAATGTATATTTGGGCTGTAGTAAACGTCTGGTTGCCGATGCCTGATTTCTTCCAAAACATTGGAATTTTCGCGGGCGGTCGAGCTAAGCTTATATATAAAATTTCAAGTAAATCGGTTGAATATTTGCTTCAAAATGTTCAAAAATGTAAAACAGGCCCGCTATAAAGCTATATTTACTTCTACTAAAAATAGTTTATTTACACTTCCCTACTATGGAGAAGTACGTTCCCACCGAAAACTCGATATGCAAAATTTGTTGCCATCATATAACCTACCTATTGTTTACACAATACGGTCGGTAAAAAGTGTACATTAATTTCACTTTATTCGTCCATGCGTCCCTTTGTGTGCCTGTTAATAAAACTTTTACATCTTTTAAGATAGAAAGTTTAAGTGTTGCACATAAATATGCCTTGAAATTGTTACCTATCCCCCTCTCTCCGTCTAAAGCTTATAGCCCAAAATTCGTTGTGGATCCCGTTTTGTTTTTCAAAGTCTGAAATTTTGGCATCTTTTAGACTCTAATAAATACATAATTTATATCGTTTAAAGGATTTTTTTTTCTCTCTCCTCTTCTCCCAATTTATCGCTTGAAATTTATAAAATTTGAATTTTCAATGCCGTATTTTTGGAAACTGCATGGTTTCACAAATTTCTATAAAAGCAAAAGGAAAACAAAAATGCCATTAAAAATTATAATTATTTTCCTTAACTTAGTAAATTATAATTATTAACCTTAAGTAAGTATTACTTAACCATCCAACTCAATCCTTAGCCTCACGATTTTCTAATATTTTTTTGTTTAATTATCCTAAAAATATGCAATTAGATGTAGTAAAAGCACATTTTTCACATTTTCAAGGGAAAACTGTTATATATATATATACAGATGTAAGTTCTTATGTACATATTGACCTCAAATGGTCATTATGGTTATCTATATGTATGTTAATTTGGTTATATAAAAACAAAAACAACTACAACCTGTTCATTTTAATATAGGTATATATAAGTATGAAATATAAAGGAATTATTATTCGCCATAATTCATTTACATGTATTTGAATGTGTTGAAAAAAAACTATTAAAAAAATTGTTCATCATTTTTATTTTTCCATATAAAAAAGCCTACTATCGACAAATGCAATTTTAAATGAAAGTTTTAAAATTACGAAATACCTTTACTACAATACATGTACATATAATTTTATGTATGTACATACAAATAGAAAATAAAATGCAATCGTAAACTTTTAAATTTGACATATCTACTTACATAAGTACATTGTTTACACATATATGTGTTTATTTGTAGATATATGTATGTATAATCAAATACGTGATGTAGATAGATAATTTTCTTATGAAAAATAAAAAACGGTTAATGACCAGCAATGGTTCAAATTAAATTTTCACTATATGCAAAAAAATAAATAAATTTTAAAAGAAAACAGGTAGATTTAAATTTCACTGAATTAAGGAATACTACAGCACTATACTTATCTACATTCATATGTAATTGTTACAAAGAAATTGAAGACAGAAATTTTAGAAAAGAGCGGATTGCAAATATACAGGGTGATTCAGTAATCAGTGACATAAAGTATACCATAATTTAAGACATCGAAAGTGAGTAAAATTTTTGTGCAGAACTAGGTGTGAAATCTTAACGGAATTTTCACGAAATTTCTACTTGCCCAAGTCCTTTTGCTTATAACTTCGTTTCCGAAAAAGTTGGAAGCTTCAAATAAACAGTTTTAGAAAGCGCCAGTACAGGGCTTAAAAGCAACAGATTACTTGACTTTGTATTTTATGTATTTTCGGAATAATTTCGGAAAGAAGGGAAAAATTAGATTTTTTCCAAAGATCGAATGATTGGATAAAAGAACTTAGGCAAGTAGAAATTTCTTGAAAATTCTTTAAAACACCTGGTCCTTGGAAACCGTTAAGATTTAACACCTAGTTCTGAACAAAAATTTTACTCATTTTTGATGCTCTAAATAATGGTATGCTTTATGTCACTGATTACTTAGTCACCCTGTATATACATATATGTATAATGTAAAGAATCACATCCTCAATTGGTATATAGAAACTACCCCAAGGATTTATAAAATCCTAAATACTTCTAAGAAAAAAAAGTATTAATTTTTAGCTAAACACGACGCAGTTGCTGAGATATGGTCAAACAATCCTTATAGTCTTATGGCGCGTTCTTGAGCATACAATTCCAATAAATGTTCATCATCTTAAACTTTTGTTAAAATTTGGTGAATTTTGCTTTATCAGTTTTTGATTAACCTAGCCCTTCAGTAAGCAAGAATAATATGTGTAATATGCATAATATGTACATATATTTATATCTATATGACGTATCATACATATTACGAATTTTTATCATTGTTGTAAACTAAACGGTAAATTTATAAATCTTATTAAGAATATTATTTGTAATTATTTGTACCGTGGATAGGTCCAAAGCACTAATTTTTTTATTGTTAGGTTATTTTATCATAAAACATTAAAATTATGTGTGAATCTTCATGTTATGTATAATTTTTATAAGCCTAGTTTTTTTTCTAACAAGGTTTTTTAATAATTATTGTACCCCTGGAAATAGTTTAAGACAAAGAATAAACTAATGCGTGATTAATTTAAAAGTTCCATTTACAATTATTCGGGCTCTATTCTTAAAAGTCATAGAATGGTTTTGTTCATTTACGTAATGTGTTTTTTTCTATGCAACGGTTACGAATAAATGTTTAAAGCAGCTTTTAAATTATTCTTATACAATTGTTACTATTATTCTAATATAAAATGCTTGCATATATATAATCATATATATATATATATATAATATCATAGTACAAATAATGGTTGTTTACCTTGGACTCGTTTTTATCTAAAGGAAAAAACACACGAGACTCGTAGTAGGTTAATAGAATGTTCAGGTTATTGTCCGCTATAAGAAAATTTAACTACATAATATCAATTATATAAATGCATATGTATATACGTCTATTTTTAAAAAAAATTTGAATAAAAATTTTTTTGTAAATTTACGTACCAATCAAATTAACATACATAGTAAGTTGTAATGTAAATTATTTTAAACGATTATTTAAGTATGCATAGCTGTGTGTTTATTCAAACTATTGTTTGTAAAATTATTTTATTTATATCTGATTGAAATAAAAATTTAGATGTAAATTTATCATAATATGAATTCATAATTATTATGAGTGCTTGTTTACATACTTACTTACTCTTAAGAGCAAAAGTCTACATCTATAAACCTTTGTGATGAAAATTTAATTTGATAGTTAATTATACAGTCAATGTCAAAAGTTTGCGTATGAAATTATTGCGAAGACTTAAAAATATTTTCATAAATCGTTTCCTTTAATTCAATAATTAACTCTACTGCAAGCAAGCCGCTGTCTTTCTGCGTTCGCAAAATTTTAAAAATGCTTATGGTTTCATTGCAACAAATAGTTAAAAAAGGCCATTTTTAGGGTTTTTGGTGGGGGGGGGGGGGGTATAACTTCTAGAGGGGGGGAAATAGGTAAAAATTTTGTTCTACAGAAATAAATTTCTATTTCAGCTTTCTATCTTCAAGGGTGTAGAAGAATTGTAAAAGTGTCCACGGTCGGACGGACGGACGGACAGAATGAAACTAATAAGCACTTTTTTTCAAAAAATTTTTGAAAAAGTGTTAAAAAGAAAGGAAAATGGTTGTGATATTTCTAACTTTAATTTCAATCTATTAGTCATCTTCAAAGTATTGAAGTAGGATGTAATATCCTAAAAAATGAAGGTTGCCAAAACCAGCCAAGGTTTTAATAACTTTAATACTTAGCTTGTATTACAACAAATAATAAATTCCTCATTCTGTTTGAATTTTTAGCCGTTTCATTTAATAACAAATTAATAATACAAAACAAAATTCTTCATTTATTATTTTAGTTCTACCGCAAATAGTATATAAAACAAAATATTGTTCTTCTCTCCTTCTATTATACTCTTTATTATAAAGCGTTAACTAAATGTAATTATAATTAATTTCTTTTTAATTATATAGATTCAACAAATCGTTTGAAACGCTCATCAACATCTGCTGAAAAAAGTTCAATTACAAAAACACCTGGACCACCACCAAAGGTATGTCATTTCTGTAAACCATATTTGTTGAAAATAATTATGATAATTGATATAATTATAACCACAAAATAAGAAAAAATTGTAGTAATATTTAGCTTTTAATTGCGTTTGGGTTTGCTTTAATATAAAACTATCATAGCTTTTATTAAAGTTTTTTTTTATTAAAACACATTAACAATTTTGGTTTATGGTAAAGAATACATATGTATAAACAAATATGTATTTAATGTTACGAAATCACTGTACCCATATACAAATTACATACATACTTAGTTATAAAATTCAAAATGATTGTGTTTTTGTTTGTTGGTTAAAATGCATGTATTCATTAAAATTAAATATATATTATTTATGTATGTAAGTACATGTACATGTATATTCATTAGTATTGTATTTCGAATTGTATAGCAAATGCAATTGCAATAATGCCGGTCATAAGTTTAAAGTTTCTTGTTTTAAGTTTCAGTTTAAAATTTCTTGTATATATCAAATTATTATTGTTGCATTTTTCATTGTGAAAGTAATGATAAAGTTGGAATATTGAATTTGGTTTTTTTTTGTGCAACTAGAAAGTCAAAGATTCAATTATTTGTATAATACAACATTTTTATAATTTATAATAAAAATTCGAGAAATTAAAATCGGTGGCATTAATTGGGAAAAATATGATTTTCGTATAAAAAATTTAAACATTGAAATTGCAGTTATTTTTCAAAGAATACATTAGATTAAATAAAATAAATAAAATTTCTATACATAAAATTTTTCGTAAGTTCAGAAAGAAGGGTAATGAATTATTTTAAGTTGATGAGGCTAAACGATGTATTTCGAACCATAATATTGTTAAATTAAAGCTAAAGTTTGCTTCAAATTTTTGTCAATCAAATGTCTAAATTATGTAATATTATGGTAGTTGCGAATTTAAGTGATGGTCGAAAGATTGAATGTAACCAATTTAATTGAAAAAGTAAATAGAACTATAGAAAGGAACGTAGACAATAAATTGCCCATAATTTCTTTATACCTCTACTGTAGTTCAGTTCGTATCGCATATAGAAATTGGTTTCACTTCAATCAGCATTTTGTAGTATAATGTTTTTAATTAATTTCCAATGATATTTCCATAATTTTTAACCTCACACTGAGAAAAATTTTATCTAAATTAGATATTTTTTATAATCAGACCAGACTATATAGAAAATCACGACAGCCACACTTTATAGCTAATTTTCAAATAAATGTATTTTTTACCAGTTTATTTTTATTTTGAATATAATTTAAAGCAGTTCTAGAAATATAATTTTCAAATTAGTTTTGCTTTTGAACCGTTTCAGAAAATAAATTATCTAGTTTGAGTAATAAATATTTCTAAATTGGCTACAATAATGTCGTGTTCGAAGGGTATACTAAAGTATGTTCGAAGGGTATACTAAATTTGCCTTACCGTTTGTAACGCTAAGAAATAACGGTGTTAGATATAGACTCAAGTGTATGTTTTTGATCAGCGTCAATTTCTGAGTTGATTTAGCTTTGTCTGTCCGTCCGTCCGTCCGTCCGTCCTTCCGTCCGTCCGTCCGTCCGTCCGTCCGAACGATAACTCAAAAACTAATTGAGCTAAGTTCACCAAATTTTCACAAATGATTTATTGTAGTAAGTGCCAGAACCCTATTTAAATTGGACGTGATCGGGGTACCGGTTCGGGTAGCTGCCATACAACTTCAAAATTTATTTGGCTATATCTCAGAAACTATAAAAGTTGTGGTATTGAAATTTCACACAAACGAATATATTAGTAGGGTCAATGTGTCTTATAAAAGTCGTTGAAATTACTTGGCTCGTTCTGGTACCTGCCATACAACTTCAAAAGTTATTTGACTATATTTCAGAAACTATTAAAGCTATGGTATTGAAATTTCACACAAACGAATATATTAGTAGGGCCAATGTGTCTGATAAAAATCGTTGAAATTACTTGGCTCCTTCTGGTACCTGCCATACAACTTCAAAAGTTATTTGGCTATATCTCAGAAACTATAAAAGCTGTGATATTGAGATTTCACACAAGTGAATATGTTAGTAGGGCCGATGTGCTTGATGAAATTCGCTAAAATTTCTTGGCTCTTTCTGGTAGCTGCCATACAACTTCAATAGTAGTTTGGCACAACCAGTATTTTGAAAAACACATTGTACTGAAATTTTGCATAAATTAATATAGTAATACGGCAACTTAAAGTCATAGTCTGCCCCATAGTTAGTTATGGCACATTAGTTATTCGCACATAGGATAACGAATTCGTACGGGTATCACAGAGTTGACAAGGTCAACTCTATTTTTTTCTCGTTAAATATAAAAGCGTGTCTCAAAAGTGTACACTTTATTTCATATTTCAATATTACTTAATGTATATTTTCACATTAATATTACTTTATACTATTAGTGTATTATATATTTTAGTATAAAAAATAATATATGAGTAGCTCTTTGCAATATTTATAGTTCCCTTTTTGAGATAATTAATATTTACTTGGTACCTGTACTTTATTTACATTTTTGTATATTATAAATTTATGACATATGTATGTACATATACATATATTTACTATTTAAAGGAACTTGTGAAAACTATTTTATTGCTAATATTTACATATACTTACATATGTACGTATTGGTATATTGCAACAAGTTTAGCATCATTTCCATGGCACATTACAAATAAATTCGTTCCCATGTGCTAATGTTTTTATTTGAATACCGATGAACTTGTGTTCTTCAAAACATTTTTTATTCAGCTATATTTTATTTTGTAAAACAATATGCGCTATTGCCAAAAGAGCTATTATTAGATCTTTATTAATACATTTATATATCAAAATTGGATTACTTACGAAATGGCTATGCATTTTATCCCTTTTAGCTTTATTTTATCCATATAATTGAAACAATTATAGCCCGTTTGACTATAAGAAACATTGAAATACGTTTATGTCATAAAGATAAAAATTATTTCTAATTTGAGTAAAAATATCACGAGCTATAAAATATTTTATTTTCAAATCAGAAATATGACCTTCGAAATGGTTTATAGCCACCATTTTGATCCTCGTTCTTTAGTTTGGTACCTTCACCAACTTTAGAATAATAGTTAAATGGTAAAGTTCTATACTGGAATGTAAATTCTAACTGAAAAAGTATTAGCTTCTAACTACAATATTTTATTCCCGAAATATGTTATTATTTGAAGCTTTTTTAGTGAACAAAAATCCTGAAAACCTTTAAATTCATTAGGCTTTGTAGAACAGTTTTAAAATTTAAAAAGATATGGTAAAGCAATTCTATGTAATAAATTTAATAAAGTATAAAAATTTAGCATTTAGACGTAAAGGTAATGAAAGGAAGAATAAATTTTTAAGTTTTTGAAACTTTTTTTCAAATTTGTTTGAGTGCGGGTTAAAAAAAGTTATAATATTGAAACAAAATCAATCTAAAGCTAAAAGAAGACTATGTAACAAGGACTATATAATCTCACATTAACCAAAGAAATACCTATGAATGCAAAGCCATTTAACAGTTTGCATTATCAGAATGTTACACAACTTTTGTTTTTTATATGCAACAGGTAAGCACTGTTATGCATGGTTGTACTTGTTCATGGTCTCATTTGATTCTCATTGCTAAAAATGTTCAATAAAATTATAAAAAACATTTTTTCTGATTGTCTCAAAAAAAAAAAAGAAATATATAAATGTAATAATTAGACGTACCTACATGTTTTATAACTATAATAAGCATTTCATATACATGTGTATATCTGTGTAGTTGAAAACTAAGTCTAAAGGAATTTGAAAGACATTCATTTATTTATCAGATCGTTTGATATTCGTTAAATATACATTAGTTTGTTTTTTTAAAATGCTGCATAAAGTAGTGCGGTCAACGGGTGGATATTTAAAGATCTTGTTCGAGTTTTGATTCAAATTTGATCTTTTCCACACATGCGCTCCTTGTATTAGTTTTATAGAAACTTTATGTGTGTGTATATTCGTTATATGTACATACTAAAATCTGATAAGGCAGTGAATTTAGCTTGAAAAGTTCCGGACGAATAACGCTATAAGTGATGATATATTTTTTTCTTATAACAAAACTTAATATTTATTAAAACAAACATATGTAAGTATAATATGATAATATTTTGTATGAATGGAAAATCTCTCAAACTTTCATCAAAGGGACCCTTAGCATGTGTAGTTAGTAGGATATCTTATTTATTGTATTTTGGATTGCAACAACAAAAATGTTTAACCGCGAACTTATTTTAATTTTTTCTGAAATATTCCTTTCTCACTTAGGATTTGCGAAATATTCTTCTTCTTACTCAGGATTTACGATAGATTCATCTGCTGCATCTATCCTATAGATGGAGGTTTCTTAATTTTAAACTAATAATCATCCTTCTTGATAATTGCAATTATAAATATGTATGTATCTATTTTAAGTTTTTGTTTCATAATAAAAAATCAATATGAAAAAAATTTCATTTATTTCACAAAATGAACACTTCATTTATTCACTTTCAAATTCATTTTATTTGAAATTTTACAATGTATATGTACATAAATTTTTTTTGAAACTTGTTTCTTTTGGTCTTAATAATGCTGAAAATTATTGGTGATAATTTTCTTATAATTTAGCTTTTAAAGCTATTAATGTGCTTTCGAAGCTATTTATGAAATATTTCAAGCATGTTTAAATTATGGAACAAATAAATGAATTTATTTTACAACACGTTTCTTTAATCCATTTTACAACATTAAATTAAAATGGAAACATTATTGAAATTGTTAACATGGACACAAACCACTTGGTTTTAAAACTAGTGTATCAGCAGAAATAAGTAAGAGATTATGAATTGAAACATTTTTAGATTAGATGTCGCTACGTACACCAAAAACAAGTTTTTCAGAAACTAAAAATTAAAAAGGGATTTTTTTTCTTTTGG